TCAAATCATGACCCCCGGGGGTCGGGTGGGGCCACAATGGGCGATCAAAGTTTGACATAGGAGTATATAGAAAAAATCTTTAAAAATCTTCTTCTCAAGAACAGCAAAGCCATGATTGGTCATATTTACATGGAAGCATCCTAAGGTAGTGTAGATTCAAGTTTGTTCAAATCATGACCCTTGGGGGAAAGGTAGGGCCACAATTGGTGATCAGAGTTTTACATAGGAATACATAGGAAAAATCTTTAAAAATCTTCTACTCAAGAGAAGCAAAGCCATGATTGGTCATATTTAAAGGGAAGCGTCCTCGGATAATGTAGATTCAAATTTGTTCAATTTATGCCCCCCTCCCCCTCCGCCCCAACCACTTTTATATTTAAACTTTTCAACCTTTCAATACTGAACTGATTTCTGCTTTTTCCTATCCATAGTGCTCAGGTGAGCGATGTGGCTCCTGGGGATGTTGATTTACTTTCTTTTAAACGATAATATAACATTGAATTAAGACTTTCTTTAAGGTTATATATTATTACTTATCTATGTGTGCTTTGTGAAAAACTGTAGGAACGATAAACAATTGAGGGAAGATGCAATAACGTGTGTCCCAGAGCCCTCGCTCAACACTGGGTTTCATACAATACAAGTTATTTTCGATGAAAGGACGATTCGGACATTGCCAAGTGCTTTGACATACCTACCAGATCCTGTTGTGATCGGCATTGAACCTCCAGAGTTAAAGAGTATTTACAGGTTTGATTTATTTAGTTGCTTAAGAAAAAAGTATCGAGTTTTAATTTTTTAAAAATTAAATTACACAATATATTTAAAGCAAAAGTGGAAGATTGCAAGTTATTATCAAGAGGTTTTTTTCATATATTTTTGAAAGATTTTCATGGCTTAAAGAAGGGGGAGTTGTATTGCAACTTAAACTTCGCTTTTGCGGTAATTTTCGTCGAAGTTTAGAGCCCAATAGCGCCTTATGTTGGACAAAATAACAGATATTGTCGAATCCGATGTATGATTAGCAAAGCGTTATAGTCTACGACATGTTTACATTTTACTTCAAACACCTTTATAGCAATAAACGATACAGTATTGAATAGACTGGGAGAATAAGTTTAATGATTTTTATTTAATAATAATTAGAGTATTATAATGATGTCCCTTGCTTTCATTAAAAAAAAACGAAGCTTTTTTATATGTTACATAAGTATTGAAAAACCATTCATTATGCCTTTGCAAGTCCTTATAAATTGAAACTGGTGTGTTTGTAATGCTCTTTTTCATTTGCTTTTAATTTACTTCGTTAATTTAAATTATATATACAGTGTGCAGATTGATAGGATACCTATGCATCGTTCAGATTGCAACGGAAAATTCGCTCTTTAAGATAGAAAAACAAGAAGAACTATGCACGACAGTATCACTTATTCATTTCAAACTTGTAAAGGCCAACAAAGGTGTTTTTTTTACATTATAATATATATAGAGGATATTCAATGTTTTGTAGATGAATATTGAATTTATTTTTTGATATTTTCACGAGTGCGAAGCACGAGTGATTTTCACGAGTGAAATAAATTCCATATTCATCTACTAAACATTAGATTTTCTGTTTATTACGTTTTCTTTGATTTTCACTTTGCCTCTGTCTTTTCGTAACACGGTGTCATAGGCTGCGACGTCATAGTTGAGCGATTGAGACGTCATAGCTAAGCGATTGCGAGATTAAAAAAACTTTGTAAACATGGATTTTTAGCAACATATTTGGAGAAACTTTGGCAGTTTAAATCTCTGTTAGAATGGTTCATTTACTCTATCTTATAACAGGCCATTGATTTTTTTTAAAAACACTCTACGTGATGGGAAGGAAAATCGAGAGTTTTGCCGCACTTCTGATATTCTCACACTGTGAGAATACCATTTTGTTATCCCTTCACACTGTGTCAGAATATTACTTTTATTCAATAAATAAATGACAGTATTTCACTGTTGAAAATGTAATAAAACCTCTTTTGTCTTGGGCCAGGGAACAAACTTGACATTTGTATTCACTGAAGATATGTTAGGAATGGAGACGTTCACACCTTATACAAGGGAGTATAAAAAAACTAGAATTCTATGTTTATTTCACAATTGTTTGTAAATGTGAAATAGTAGATAACAATGGAAAAATTGTTTTTAATTTGTGAAATGCTTAAACAAGAATTTTATTTTTACCAAGAGCGAGTAGAAAAAAAAATTCCAAGCGTAAACTCTCTGTAGTGTTTGTAGCAATCCAAAATGCAACTAACTCATTTAGCTCATTTGTCGGTTTATAAGTCATGTTGGTACCTTATATGCATGTCAATTTCCCCAGATGTCGTTTTGACGTCGACGTCAGTGCTCGGGGACTATTTTATTGGAGGGGATTTATATTCACATTCATATTTCACATATAAATTTAAATTATAAGGAATTACTGTCTAGATTGTTGTGTATGGCAGGGACAGGAACTACAGTTTGAAATATGGGATTGTAAATTAAACTGGCGTCAGAAAGTAAAGTTTACTTTGCAAACATGTTTGTCTATAAAGAAGTTAATTTCATAGTAAAGCAAGGAATATCATAAATACATGTACTTTATTAACTGGCTGAAGAAGTTTGATTGAATAAATTCTGGACAGAGATTAATGAAAATTTCCAATAATATTGTACAGTGGTGAAAACTAAAATGGAAACATAACGTTTTGTTAACCATATGTCCGCGTGTGTTTCGTATATTTTCATTCATCTAATTTGTTTGGTGTGCAGTGGCGTTAACAGCACTTATAAACGTGGGATAATTATGTTCCCCAAACGAAGTTTGGGAACATATTGTTTTTACTCTGTTTCTTATTATTATTATTATTATTATTATTATTATTCTTTTTTATTCTTATTTCTTCTCCGGTACTTTTTGTTCCGCGAGTGTTCTCGGAAACTGCTCATCCAATTGAGTTAAAATCTTTTTAGGGTTAATAGGTATGTTGTGTAGATGTGCGGAACGAAGGTCATTTTGCGCGCACATGCATGCACGTGCAGGCGCGTGCAATGAGTGAAATGACTGACATAATTTATATAGCCGTAACTTTTACATTTTTTTATGAAATGCTTTGAAACTCATAACATAAATATATATTAGTAGAGTAAACAAGATGAAATGGTTGAATTAGCATGAACTCACGCGCATGCACGTGCGCTTCGCTCTGATTGGCTGAAACAAAAGTCTCAATATCTTCCTTGTTTTTTGACAAAATACTTTGAAATTTAAAACATAGTCATACATTAGAAGGTTCTACAATATAGTATATAAGAATTATCATGAAAACACGCGCATGCGCGTGTGCTGCAACCTGATTGGCTTAAACTTTAAATGGCTATATCTCTCTTGGTTCTCAACAAAACAGGATGAAATTTAGAATATAAATAGGTATAATGGAATCCTACATTATGCTACTATCAAAATTGAATGCAAGACCATGCATGCGCGTGCGCGCACGTGCAATGCGAAAAATGACCAACATAATTGATATAGCCGTAACTTCTATACTTTTTGATGAAATGCTTTGATACTTACACTATAGAGAGATACTAAGAGTGTAGAAAAGATGATATGGTCAACATGCACATGCATGCACGTGCGCGGGAGTGCAATTCTAAAATGACCTATAAAATTGATTTAGCTGCAACTTTTATACTTTTTGATGAAATGCTTCAATACTTATAATATAGAGAGATATTAATGGTGTAGACAAGATAGTTTGGTCAACATGTACATGCATGCAACGTGCGCGCACGTGCAATGCTAAAATAACCTATACACTTATATACCCGTAACTTTAATACTTTTCGATGAAGTGATTTAATATTCATTATATAGAAATATATCAATAGTGTAGACAAGATGATATGGTCAACACGCACATGCATGCACGCGCGTGCATGCAATGCTAAAATGACCTATATACTTGATTTAGCTGGAACATTTATAATATTTTATGAAATGCTTTGATACTCATTATATTAAGATATATTGATAATATAGACAAAATGGCGTGGTCATCCTGCGCTTGCATGCACTTGCGCACGCATGAAATTCTAAAATGACTCATATACCTGATATAGCCATAACTTAAAACATTTTTTGATGAAATGTTTTGACACTCAGAATATAAAGATGTATTAATAGTATAGACAAGATGACATGGTCAGCATGCACATGCATGCACGTGCGCGCTCGTGTAATGCGTAAAACAACCAATGTACTTGATTGCCTTATTTAATGAAACTTATTGGAAATAATTAAGACACCAAAAGGAGGTTGGGGAGCGTTTGGGGAACATCTGTAACGGTCCCCGTTACAATTATAACTAGTTATACATAACGGGCGTCGCCCGTTTTGCAAATTATCCCACGTTTTGAACAATCTTCGTTAATACCTTAACATACCCAACAAACTAGACAGTGATTCCTTAAATTTCTTGCATACTGTAGTTGATATAGAGCACACGGGCATGTTTTGTGTGCATTAAATATTTAACCCGATGCAGTATACTAAAAAATAAATTAAAGTTACAAGGGTATCAACAATCTATCTATGCAGACGTTTTCCGCGGGGAGGGGTTATAAATATTTGAGAAAAATATCGATAACATGTAAACATTTCAGTAAGTTATTTCATATATATTTTCTTATTTCATCCTTTGTTTTCCCCTTGCAAATTTTCTAATGACGTGAGAACTTTCACAAATACAAATCTCGAAAACAAAGTATTGAAGCAATGACTGTGTCAAGAGTACTTCCAACGAAAGTGTTGGATAACGCAGCCTGTTGAAAAAAGTTTTGTTTCTTTCCACACAGGTTAAAAATCTTATAAATTTTCATAATGTTATTCTTGGATAATTTTCAATTATTTCTCTTCTAGTGGGGGATTGAATTTTTATGTCGTCGGCAGAGGTTTTATTGAAGAAATAGAGAAGATGACTCTTTCTTTGTCAGGAAACGAAGCCTATGTAAGAGGACCTATGGTGTAAAATATTTCATTTTTTGTGTGTGTTTATCTAGCATTTTGCAGCAGAAAATAATTTGACAAAATACAAAATGAAAAGTGATATTCCAACGTTTACTTTATACAGAGAAAAGATCTGTGTGTTAGAGCAAATATAAATCGTCTGGTATGCAAATTTCCCCCATTGGCAAGGCATGCAAGGATGAAAAATTACGCAATCCAAACTTTGTACATATCCTTGGATGGCTTTAATTTCACGTTATCAAAAAAATTGTTATATGTGAAGGATCCTATCTTCTTTCCTTTTGCGGGCAATCACTCTTATAACTTTGACCCAACCACGGACAATGATGCAATTAATATAAAGGTACGATTCTGGGAAGCAAATTGCTATCTAGTTAAAAGAAAATGTATTCTTTTTTTAATCATACTTAGATAATATGCCTATGTTGGAATTTGCTTATTTGACTTTGACAATATATGATGATATAAGTATGAAGTATAAATTATACTTGAATAGTTTCATTTATTCAAATAAGAATTTTGATTCAAAAATTAAGAAGGGATTAATTTGTGGATAGGAGTATTAATTCTGAGAAAATGTGATTAAACTTTATCTCATATTTATGAAACAAAAGTATGTAGAATTAGGAACTCTAGTTTTCAATTTTCAAAGGGGACAGGCCTAGATGCTGTGACAAATAAAGATGATTACACAATTGATGTTGGAGATGGTGAATGTATAGTAACAGATCTACAGAAGAACAATTTGACATGCAAACCTCCATACACACAACCCGGAATAATGCCAACAGAAGAAAAATTATATATTAGAGTAAGAGCATTTATAAAAAAAAAAGAAAACAGTTATATAAAAGGTAGTTTCCCAAACAATTTTAATTTTTCGATGGAAATCGTGGATTGCCGCAGGTAGTTATTTGATATCCACATTTTGGATAATGTTAAACAAAGAAGTACGTTTGTAACGATTCTTTGCCAGAATGTACAGATTCTGAAGTATAATAAAGCAAACCATAACTATATATCTTTTAAAATGTTCCTCCAGTCAAATACTAACATTAATTATGACATCTCTTACATGAGTAGCACATGCGCACAAAAATAAGTTATTGATTAATGGTTATGTAATTTAAAGTTCCATGTTATAACACAGAAGAGTTTCGGTATATTTAAACAATAAAATGCTTTCTGTGGTTATGTTTATTTCTTTCTACAATAGCTACAACGTTAATTCCAGTATTAACAAACAAAGAAAGACATTTTATTGTTTATATTTACATCTGTACAAATAATTGTTTAAAGTAGGATTTAGTTGATGAAATATTGCACTATTGATAAGTACGTCATTGTACGTTTCATTGATGGAACAGCCACTGCTCAAGAAATCATAACAGGTAATATGCTTAGTGTTGTTTACTGAATGATTAACGGCAATAGTTTTCTTAACAAAAAAAGGAGATAATATTCAGTGGATGTAAATATATATTAAAATCGATGGATTCAAATGGATACAAATCAAGAGCTATTCTCGGTAAAGATTAGTATTTTTTGGTATAATTGTTATCGCATTATGATCACAGATTTCCTCCAGACTTTGTATATTTAAAATTCTTACTGCAATAAATAATTTCCGAAATCCAGGGTGTGGCGGATAAATGGTTATACGTACCGTGGGAATAAGTTTCAAAATTGGAATTGTGCCAATTTTTTTTTTTAATTTTGAAAACAGTGCAAATTCTTACATATTCTTAAGGTAATATGGAACTATGGTCATTGTGAGCATGAAGTTTAAAGCTTTTTTTTCATATTAACAATACAGAAGCATGGCATTTAGCCATTTTGTGGTAATACAAAGTACATATTACAGTAAATAAAGTATAAGGATGAAAAAAGTCTGTAGTCTCATAATGCGGCTAGAAACAACACAAGAACACTCTTTGAATGTTACTATGGAATATAAAAGCAGATTTGGTGTCTTATAATCTATAATGAAAACCTGATAAAACCTAATAAAAATGTAAAGCATTGCTTCAGAAATAAGATGAAAAGAGTCTATTTTGTTTGTATGATCATTTTTGTTTTCTTCATATGTGCATTTTAGGTGAATTCCACCTAGTTTATTTATGATAATTTATAAATCAGTAAATTAGGTGTAAATTCCACTATTTAATAATGTTCAATGTTAATGCAACAAGGAAATCACAAGGTGCTGAAAACATTTTGAACTTTTCCTCATTGTTACAACTATAATTGTTTAGAAACTATGGAAACCAAGTTGCATTCTAAATGAAGTTCTATCAAATATTCAAATTTTAAGATTAAGTGGTATAATTTGGCTTTGTTTATGTAGATTTATCTATATGAAACAATATCTATTTTCTAGAACAAAAATTGTATGATTCCTTTGAATCACTGAATTACATATACTATCTCCTGAGCTACACCTTTAGAATTAACTTTTCTTTAGCATCCTTGTTATATTTGCCTTACACAACTTAAAATTAATGAATTCATAATAAATTGATAGATTTTCATACTATTTGTTTTTATAGGAAAGGAGATAATTCAAACAGTTCAATGCAAAACTCATGGTGTTAAACATGTGGTCATGGCAACCAATACACCCTGTGAAAAAAATTATAAAGTCTTTGATTCATTTACAGGATCATTGGTTTTTTGGTTCTTTCTTTTGATCCGTTTACTCTGTCATATAATAGCATGAGATAACATGTACAGATTTGAATTTTTCTCAATTTAATGTTTTGTTCAAATTTAACTGTAATAAGACCTTTTCTCGGGGATTCCCCATAGTATCCTTTCTTGTATTAATAAGCCCAAAGATGTTCTAATTTTACATATGTGGTTATTTATATTATGTGCCCCAGCATATGGGTACAATAAGGGATCAAAGTAATGTAAATCTTCTTTTTAACTTTCAATAAGACTTGTTGCCATGGAAATAAAAATCCGTATCAATGCAATAATCATTGGTTCAAGTTGGAAAGATAAAGATTTATTTAAGCTTGAAATGAAAAAAAAATCTCTGATAATCCGTACCAAAAACCATGATAAGCTTTTTGATAAACCGCTCTTCTGTAGGTAAAAGTGGGATTTCTTACTGTTGTTGTTGGAGATCTGACATACTCTTCCTCATATGGAAAGGATAAATACTACATGACTATAATTGCAACACTATCACTTGTGCTTCTATTTGTCTGTGCCATAATTGTGTTGATTGTTTTAAGAAGAAGGTTATTGGAGAAAAGAAAGATGAAACAGTCTCAGAATTATGTGCAGAACATGCAAAGTAGGTATTCATTGTTTCAGAACTGGATCTTCAAAAATCTTTCAAAAAGATACCTTTATGTCATTACAATGTAATATCCATGTTCCTCGATTCAAATACATAAAGATGGCATTGAGGTTATATAAATGAATTTCATAGACAAATTTGTCTTCATTTCTATTTTGGTTTTGCTTGTTTTTGTTGTTTCTGTTTTTATTTTCCTTTTATTTTCTCATCAAGAATTTTTTCAAGAAAATATAATGGATGCAAGTGTAATTTTACTGGCATATAAGTTTTCATCAAAGGACTTAAATTTTGTAAAAATTCTTCATATTTGAGAAACTTCTAAATTGACTCGTGTTTATCGAACTATAAACACAGTATCTCCAGGATATGAAATGATTGAAGAAAGGAAAAGGAAAACAGTCGTACGTCATTCTGTAATAGATGAGGGAAGTATGATTCTTCTGAAAGAGAAACATCTGCTTATATCTATTGACGATTTGAAGATTGGCAAGTGTATCGGGCAAGGTACGCAGATCATTTAATGGAATAACATCTCAAATTGCCTCGTCTAGTACATGTATCATTAAGTTCAGAATTTTTTTCAGGTAATTTTGGGTCTGTATATAAAGGAACCATGATTGGGGCGTGGAAAGACTCAAGCACAGATGTTGCCGTTAAAATATTATATCGTAAGTCAGTCATCATTTTACAAAAATAATGCTAGTTAATTGGATTGAACACATTATAGTTGAACAAGTACACTGAAGTTGATTTTAAAAAAAGATACTGGAGTTCCACATTGACAACATCTGTGTAGTCTTTGGAGACCAAGTCAACAGTTGGAATTTCGTTGGATACTAATTATGCTTATTTATTGACCGACTTTTTTATATTCCCATGAAAGAGAATTCTATCAAAGACTTCTACTGGTCACGATAGTCTAGTGGTAAGGCGTTCGCTGCTTCGTGTTCGGGAGGCCTGGGTTCGATTTTCTTTCTCCGCGCTGCATCAAACTTAAGACGTTAACATAGATAGTGACTGTTCCTTCACCGAGCGCCTGGGTTTAGAAGTGAAAGTCACGGGTCTTTCAAATGAAACCTTAAAAAATCGAAGTACCGTGTCGCGGTAGACGGCACGATAAAGTACCCTCACTGCAAAATGGCCCTGAATGCCGAGTATAGATCTTAATTTAAAGGCCTTTTACCGGCATACGGTGACCTCTCTATATGAGTGAAAATATCTCGAATGGAACGCTAAACAAAATACAATCAATCAATCAAAACGTGTACATGAGAAAAAGAAAACACCTGCTGTTGGCTTGTACTACTTAACACTCAGATGCTAGTATATTGACTACATATTATCAATTAACAATAGTTACTTCCATTCACATGGCGAATTGATATATCCCTGTGAACTCGAAATGAAAGGTAATACAAAGTCTGCCACATCTGTTTTATATTTGGAAGTTTTACTGAATTAGGATGATAAAAGCCGACGAACAACTAAACTTTATGATAAACAAGATAAATTTTTAATCGTCACTTTTCCTTTATTCATTATTTATTTAGTAATATCCGCTGTCACCTGCATATGGTGATTATCTTCCAACTTATTCGATACTCAAGTGCATGCTCTATCTGTGTACGATCAATTTTTAATCCGAGGCAGATTACTAACAGATAAGTTGATTACAGGGGTTTCAACAATCTCTATTAAAGTCAACATTTCTTACATTCTATGGTTGTTATAATGACCTTCTTAATTAGCTATCAATTATTTGGCCGTATTATGGCTGACGTGTTTCTTACCAATTGTTAGGCCTTTGTTTTTTATTTGACTACGGAATATTCCATTTACCTGATCAATACATAGGGTCACTGCGGGTGTTTCCCGTCGACAGGAGATGCTTATTCCTCCCCGACACCTGATTCCAAATCTAGAATATCGGAGAGGGGGTGTTCCTTTTCACAGATTTGTATTGTTTGTAGATTTTTTTAAAATCCGATCACTGTTCGATATCATCACTTTTTTTTATTATTATTATTACTACTAAAATTTTGAGTTCTATCGCTAAAAAGCGCACTATAAATTGTCTGATTTAATGCAAGGGAAATACGAATCAAATAGCAATATTCTGTACCTACTTCATTTTTATTACCATGTAATTCAAATATAAAAATGTCAGGTGTTTATAAAGTGTTGGTTGATTGGTTTGTTTGTCTTACGACCCTTCGAGAATATTTCACTCATATTGAGACGTCACCACTTGCCGACGGAAACTGCAAATTTAGACCTTGGTACTTGAGGTACTTGAGCAGTGAGGGATCTTTATCGTGCGAGCACCTACTGAGAGACGGGGCCTTTATGTGGTTTGATCCGAAGGACTAGTCTCCACGTCCTGCAGTGGTATAGTTTATAAACTGTATAACATACTACTTGTAAAGTTTATTTCTTTATTTATTAGAAAACAGGGAAATCGATACAACGGATTTTGTAAAAGACACTTTAAGAATGTCTGACTTCCATCATCCAAATGTGATAACGTTACTGGGGATTTGTCTGTCACTGGACGATAAGATACACTTGGTCTTACCCTTTATGAAATATGGAGATGTTCTGACATACATAAAGGATGAAAAGAATGTAAGACGTAATGGAAGAATGTATCTTATCTTAATACCCTACAATAACACATTGCTAAAGCACTGATTTGTGCAATTGTGCTTTCTTTAGCCATCTTACAGAATATTCCAAGATTGTACACCTAATTTGGTTGTTTGTTTAAAAAAATGATGCGTAAAAGTCGAATAGAATTGTGAATATTACGTTAATGTATGTGTTCAAAGATAAAATTTCACTAAGCTTTAGAAAAACGCAATATTAAGGATTGAGACCTGGTTTCCTTAACTATCAGATACCATTACCTACAAAACATGTTACCTTAGTTTCAATTTTTATTCTTGGTGAATTCATTTTATTAAAATACTTATTTCTGAAAGATTAAAGTCGGTATGTATTGTATTTTCTACGTTGAAGTGAAGTAGTCGTGCATCTATTATTTTTAGAGAGAATGTCCCTTTTTGATCCATTAAGTTTTGATTAACATGTTGAATATCCTTGAATTAAAACGTTAAGCTATAATTTTATTAAAAACATAAAATGCTTTGTTTCTTCTTTGCAGGGATTTACAAATTTTAATATACTCAGACTTGGTGTGGACATCGCAAAAGGCATGGAATATTTAAGTAAACAAAGGGTTGTGCATCGAAATTTAGCTGCAAGAAACTGCATGTACGTTATCTCTGTATTGTCGCCCTTAGGATGATATCTTCTACTTTGAAACATTTTAAAAAGGTATCTAGTCTTTTAAATAAGGAATGGAAACATGACGATAATACAGCAATTTTTTTTTAATGTTTTCATTTAGGCTTGATGAAAATCATACAGTGGTAGTTGCAGATTTTAGCATGTCATACGATGTTAACCAGACAGATCATTACTGTGTTATTGACAGAGACTTTATGTCACCTGTAAAATGGATGGCACCAGAGAGCCTTGAAACAGGAATTTACACCACCCAGTCAGATGTGGTAAAATATTTCATTTCTACAATTGGGAAGAATTCGAAATCAAATTCCGAGAAAGCAGTGTATACACTTACATTTACTATTGCAGTAAGATCATTAGAATAAAAGTAATGGAGACTACAGATTATTTGTTTCTTACAATAACACATTAACTATGTTTGTGTAGTGGTCCTTCGGTGTTTTGCTGTGGGAACTAATGACCAGGGGAAGTAAGCCATATCCTGATATCGACGAATGGGATATGTTAAGCTATTTAGAGAAAAACAAGAAATTGCCACAACCATTATTTTGTCCAGATCTGGTGTAAGTCACTAACTGATACAAGCATTGCTTGTTGACAGTATGATTATTGTGTTTCTTTATCTGTTGTTCATCCCTTTATTTTTTGCTGTCAGAAAGAATTTTTACTTTTTTAATACATTTGCATTTATACATTTTAAACACAAATGTCTTTGATTGGATTTAAGTGTTAGCTGAATGTTGGTCTCTCCGTCTGTTACAAACTTTGACAGTTTCTCATGAAGACAATTTATTTTGGTAAATATTAAATCAACACACAAATGAAACAAAAAGCACAACCTCAACGGATCTGTTGTAACCATTTCACCACGTAAATAAGATAATGTCATTCGAATCGAAAATTTTAATTTGCTTCATAGCCATAAGATTAAGTAAACTAGAAATGTTAGAAGCTCGAGCACTGATTTAAGGCTGATTTAGAGACATTTCGTTATTAATAAGGTCATTAAAAGAAAACAATGATGATTTTGACTTTGCTGTTAATTTGAAACACAAAACAAAAACGTGGAAATATAACTATTACCTTTGCCAAAGGAGTGTCCAGCAAAATGATGTTATTCAGTTGATCCTTTAGTCAATGGAGCTTAATCTCGTATTTAAATACATAGACAAAGGAAATTTATTATTTTATAAAAGGACATTGAATTATTTTGAGCATGTTTTCACGGTAATCAAACATGGACTTCTGATGTACCAGACAAAATGCAAATTAAGACAGATGAAAGGATCAGTAGTATACTCTTATTTTATGAGCTTAAGGGAAACTGTCAAACTACTGTCCCAGGGTAATAAGGAAGACTTGGAAAAATGCTGCCGATGGTCGAAAGCCTAGGGCAATTTTTCCAATTTTTCCCAGGTCTTCCCTCCTATCAAGAACAACAGTTTGGCTGTTCACCGACGAGCCATAAAATAAATGTTTGAATACTTAATCTACTGTAAAATTTCTAAGTATAGTTAGATAGACCTAATAATCAATGGATTTTTAATACTCCAAGCCTAATCACACAACATTAAAATATCAACAACAATTCATAATATTTCGGTCGCCCGCGTGGCGCAGTGGTAAGAGCGTTCGTTCTAGAGTCGCGGAGTAAGGAGTTGATCCTTATGTCGCGAGTTCGAATCCCACTGTGGGACGTGGAGACCGGTCCTTCGGATGAGACCGTATAAACCGAGGTCCCGTGTCGCAGTAGGTGCTGGCACGAAAAAGATCCCTCACTGCTCAATGGCCCTGAGTGCCGAGTATAGGTCAAAATTTGTAGCTCTCCACCGGCAAGTGGTGGCGTCTCCATATAAGTGAAAAATTCTCGAGAGGGACGTTAAACAATAAACAAACAAACAAAAAAACATATTTCGTGAAAAAAATTTCAAAGGAATAAAATAAGTTAAATATTAAATATATTTTCACATTGATTGATTGTTTATTACTTAACATTGAATCAGCATTAATTTAGCCTTATTTATATAAATATAGATGAAGTATTTATTACTACAAGTTATGTATGTACATCGTTTAAGAGAGAATTACAAAGATGACGTGAACTTTTGAATATCACGCTGACGCTTTAACCATGCAACAGTTCGCTCTGTGAACAGGATACGGTACTACTGTTTTACGATGAACAAGAACAAATTAAAAGATCGGGAAATAGTTTAATATACCTAGGTACAATGAGGTTAGATTTGGCAAATTATACCCTTTGAGAAGAGTATGTATTGTATGGACTATGCCATGGTATTCAGTTCATTATTTTTGCTTTATACGTTTTGAATGTGATTTGCCTCATGTATGTCAAAATTGTCTTTGCAGGTACTCCTTAATGAAACAGTGCTGGAATTTAAACCCTGATAAAAGACCTACATTTTTTGATCTGGTTCTGGAGCTAAACAAGTTGACTACTACTCCCTCAGAGGATGGAGGTTATTTGCAACCTTCTAAATATACATACGAATCTCCCCAATACACCTACGTTACGCTCTACTAGATAAAGGCACATTAAATATGCTCCGCGAAAAACTGACTCAAGCAGAGCTAAGAGATACAATGAGTTTCAAACATAAACAAAGAAAATCCTTTAAGGACCCTCTATACACTAGAGGAAAATATTTTTTGGACTTTGAGAAAATTATAATGTGTAAAGGTTTAAATATTGAGCTTATCTATCACATTTTCAACATAGAGTGCCTTGCATTTACCCCCAGGAAAAATGTTCAAAGACGATGAAGTACAAATGAACATAAATCACTTTTGTTTACTTAAGTGGACAAAATACCTGCTTATTAAGTGTCTATCTATTCATCCTGGCCTATTAAAGTGTTATGATTGCTTGATGTGATCACAAATTAAGTAATAAACTGTACATTTCAATTTATTTCATTTTTGATCAAAGGGCAGATCACTCTATCTGCATAAAAATACCACAAAATCAGAACTCCCTAGTGTGCAATGTATAGAGGGCTCTTAAAGAGTTCTTTTGAGGAGTTTGCATCAAATGGAAAAGTCATTTCTTTCCGAAAATAGAAAACTTAAATAACTTACTTCGTTCATTTGTGTTCTATATTTGTTGTGAATGTCCTATCTAATTTCTTCATCTAAAATGATTAATTCATCATCCTAAAGCTGTAATGCTTTCATTTTTTAACAATATAATGTTTTAAGTCTCTTAGATTACAGACTAACAAAACAGCAAATCCTATAGGTAGGGGCAAATAACAGAAAACAAAATGCTACTGTTTCTTTTTTACATCCAAACTTCCATCCCTTTGTGTTGTATACTTTTTTCCTCTAGCATGCTATTTTTCATTCTTTTTCAAAAAATACAAATTTATATATACGTTAATATTTTAAGTAGACTTTATGAGTAATCTTACTAAAATAACAAGCAAAATTGTTCATTCATGTATGTACTAAATTAAAATAATATATATAAAGTATGGATCTTCGAATTATTTTTAGAGTTTTCATTGATGAGTTTTTTTGGTCTATTTTGTCGTGAGTTCTGTGACTATTTTTGCCATTACTGATGATGTTTGTTTTGTCTATTTCCATTAAGACTTATGAAAAGTCTTAAAACGAATGCCTTAAAAGAATTTAGAAAAGAAAGGAAAAGAGCTCTCAGTAATTGTCCACAAAGTTTTCATGAATGAACAAGCATTCTGAGCTATACTCGTCCCCTACCAGGAAGTGTAATCTGTTTTCCCTTAAAAGTTAAAAAGTCCATAATTCAGTCTATAATCATTGAACCGGAACAAAATGCAAACTTGATCTATAACTCATTAAGGCAAAACATTTACCAAAAAAATCAGCTCAATATCTGCAAGCGTTAAAGAAAGTTTGGAAAACCAAGTGGGAAATCTTGTTCCCATTTAGAAATAAAAAAAAGACAGTGACTCCATTCAAAATCATCGAAGCGGAACGAAATTCAAATCGATCGGTAAAAAATCAAGCTCCAATCACCAAAAATCAGACCATTATCTGAATGGATTTAGGGAAAAGGTGCGGAAAAGTAAGTGGAACATACTGACAGACAGACAGCTAGACGGAGAGACGAGGAGGAAACCCATAGCCTTTTCCGGTTTCACCGGTAAGAGGATAATAAAATTAGAGTTAAGCTTTTCGTGGTAGTTTTTTTTTCCTTTTTACATGCTATAGGATCCAACAGACTAGAGTAACGAAGTACCCTTAACATATGATTGTGCAAATAACAATTTTGATTAAAAAGAAGACACAATCTCCTTCCACATTTGTTTCCATATATATATATATATATATATATATATATATATATATATATATATATATATATATATATATATATATATATATATTAAACAAATATAAAAAGAAATCTGAAAATAATATACAGTCTAAATGGATAAGATTTTTAGACGACTGTTTTATCTTGTGGGATGATGATGTCGACAAATTATCGGAGTTTTACGATCTACTAAACCAAATGAACTCGGATATCAAATTCACGATGGAAACAGATGATACGCAAATGCCATTTCTCGATGTTCTTATATCAAAAGATAATACCAGCTTAAATACGGATATATACTATAAGCCGACAGATACACACCAATATCTGCATTTCGGATCGTGCCATCCCCACCATACTAAAACGGCTATACCATATAATCTCGCAAGAAGGATCTGTACCATTGTGAGCAATATTAATACGAGGGATATCCGTTTGGAGGAATTAAAATTGTATTTATTGAGCCAAAAATACCCAGAGCAACTGGTAGATAATAGTATTATGAAAGCCAAGGAGTGTGATAGAACACAATTACTTTCAAACACACGACTTGCGAAGGACGGAGAGACTATACCCTTTGTTCACACGTACAATCCGAGAAATAAAAACATCAATTCAATTGTTTATGAATTAAATAGCTAACTTACAGAGGATGAACAAACCAAAACTACATACAAAAAACTGTCGTTTTATCAGCAGTAAACGTCAGCCCAAAAACCTTAAGAGAATACTTTGTTCCTCCCAATTCGCTGACCATAATTATACAGTGTCAAAGTGTACGGACCCTCGATGCGGCACATGTGACTACATTACAGAAGGGACGAGTTATAATTTTAACGGGCGTGAAATTAAAATCTCCATTTATAGTCCTGTTTTTTTTTTTTTTTTTACATATACACTTTGACATATAACCTTCATTTCATTTAAGCTCCTCCGAGCCATAGTCTAATCTGAGCATATTTTGGTAAAAAATTATCAGCCATCTATCGGTATCGTGGTTATTTATTTTATTTATTTATTTTTTTTTTTTACATTTTCATCTTCACCAGAACCCTTGGGCCAATTTCAACCGAACATGGTAGAGACAATCTTTGGATAAAGGGACATTAAGAAGTATTTTCTTCAAATATAGGACCATGCTCCGTTCAAAGGCTACAAATTCAATAAGGGGCAAAAGTAGATAGTTTTATTAAATTATTGATTGAATGTATTATTTTACGTCCGATTTGAGAATTTTTCACTCATGTAGAAACGTTACCTGGAAAAGTGCCACAAAGTATTACCTATACTTAGCGTTAATGGTCGTAGCAAGGATAGTTCTTTGTCATGACTACACTGTACGTTAACCGTGACACAAGATCTTGGCTTTTAAGGCCACTTAGAAACTTACGATTATCACTTTTAATGCCCGGCGCTTGGCGAAAGAACAGTCATTAATTATGTTAAACGTGTTAGATTTGACGCAGCAACGGGAACGAAAATCGAACACCTGGACCTCTTTCTAATCTACCTCAAGAAGCAATAGGCCGGAAAATATGAAACTTTGAGGGTTTTTTTTTATCAAAACGGGGTCACCGGGGTAGAGATGGCCCAAAGAAGAGACAAAGATATACATAGGTATATTAATGTTCTCCAGTGTAATTTTCCAAGTTCACTGATTCTATTTTTTTTATGTCCCATTACTCAATTTCTGTGCCATATTAAGAGTCACACAAACACCAGGTTTGATGGATAAAAATTTCATTTATTATACATGTATAAATGACGATAGATAATTAAAAGATAAATCAGATAAAGGGGAGATCACTCTTAAACAATGCATTATTGAAAAGGTATTCTTAAATTTGCACAGAATATTAATTGCTCTCCCAAGTATATAAAATTACATTTAGAATATCAAAATTAACAATCCAGTATCCAATAAATTACAATAAACCAAAAAAGTGGAAGACATAAGATACCATTGTTCAAAACATTGACCTTTCCTTTCAAAAATTAAAATATGAAATTTAACAGACAGAGTAGGAATTCATGATAAAGGTGGGCAACACATGGAAAAACCTCACTTACTGCGATCGAATCAAGGCAAAAAGTGACGTACAATCTACAATCCGTGTCTCTTCTGAATGGATCATAAATTGACCCCCTATCGATTGCTTTAAAATGAACAAAACATAAAATACTGATAAATATGGATCAACATGTCATATATAAACATTAAACTCAAAATATCTTTTACCCGAGTACATAAATGCTATTATTTACAATAATGCAATTAAAAATAAGAAATCTTATAGTCAAGAAACATTAATACACATGCATATCTATTTTTGCAATGGTCTTCCAAGTTTGAAGTATATATATATATATATATATATATATATATATATATATATATATATATATATATATATATATATATATATATATATATATATATATACATATATATATATATATATAGTTTGAAATAATAATAATCAAATAGGTAAAAAATAAAATCACTAATCCATAATTTTAATGATGAAAATTGGAAGCGTTTACCAAGGGTCATAATAATGCAAAATGATCACGTAGCTAGTGCACATGTGCTAATAATATTGTTTTGATAAAATTATTATTTCCAGTAAAATAAATAAGGCTTTAGATTGATCTTTAATCAGATTGCTTGTGCAGCAACATAGATTAATGCTACTGCGTGCATTCATTCCTTTTTGATTGAATCAAATACGGTTCTTTATTTATATTCCGTCATTCTGATTCATTGCTGGTGAAAATTGCTAAATATTTAGGGACTTATCCATCCAGAAAAGTACTTTTATTTTGTGCTCTGGAGCTGAAGAAAATGAAGAATGGAGGTGTCAGATGTAATTTTAGAGTGTAGAATTTCTTTAACTTTTTAAAGTTATATAAATTTCCACACCCTGGAATGGACCCGTCTTTCTATTCCTAAAACAGTGGTTTAAATAATATATGTACAACAAATACTTATTTCATGAGGTTTGATTGTAGTAACAATAATCTAATTCTTCTTGCTTTAAGAAAACTACTAGTAGGATTCTCCTATAATTTCATTATTTCTATTGACACCATATCTTTTGACAAAACAAGAAGATCTGATGAGAGGCTCTCTCTCTCTCTCTACCGGTTTCATCACCGGCTTAGGAGTTTGACAATATATTGCTTGGTTACTCATAAGTTTATTTCGGCGTTGTGATTATATATATATATATATATATATATATATATATATATATATATATATATATATATATATATATATATATATTCCAATAAAAA